GACACACCTGGATAGTGATTGAACAAACTTTGCGATGCTGGAAATACCAAACAGCTTAGCCTGATATTAATGGGGAAAAAGTCAAAGCATCTTGTTTTAAATGTTATTAATAATATCTCAAAGCTAATTTACCTGTTTCACTGCAAAATAATTGGATTTTTTAAAATGTAGTGATACTTATGAGGAAGTGCAGCGTTTAAATGAGCCAGTGCCTCCGTTATTGTGTTATGTTTGTAAAAAATGACGACTTTATATAGTTACAAAAACACATTAAAAAGCTTTAGGTGGAAGTGTTTTAAAAAATAATGTTTTTCATTGCAACTAATCAAGTTAATCAAATGTTTTTATTGCAGTTTCTCTCCACTATGAGCTTGTTGTAAATATTAACATGCTGTTCATTTTTTTATGTTTTAAATGTAATAAAATGTGGTAAAAGTCACCTTCTTTGTTCCAGAGGAAAGGAAATGATTTATTTTTCTGTGTGAAGCTAACCTCTGCTGCTCCTCGTTCTCCTGGAAACAACAAACAGATTTTCAGCAGTTTTCACTTCTTATCGGCTAAAATCTCTTTTTCTAATCTTAAATAATAACAAAAAAGACGTTTAAAGATTTAAATCACCCTCTTCAGCTGCGGGGAAGGATGATGACGGCGGAGGCTCCTCTGACCCGTCTGCCGTCGTCTCTGCTCCGTCCCTCGGTTTGTTTCCGTCTCTTTTTATGTCCATCCTCGGTCCCGTCCACACCCAGGACCAAAGGGAGCGGCGCAGGAAAAACGACACTGATGCTTCCTGATAACAATCTGAAAGCATCTTGTTACAACCACAGAACCCTGGAAACACGCATACATCAACGATACCGTGTGACATTCACAGAAACAAAGGGATGCAAGTTATTAACTGTGTTTAATCGGTTTCTTTAGATCATTTGGTCAAACATCACATTCACACGCTTTTAGAGGAAAACGTTTTTAATTCTGGACAGAATGTTTCTATTTGTCCATTTGAGGAAAACCGGGAGAACGTGCAGAGTTGATCTGCCATTCTTTATCTGTAGATAAAAATACAATAATTTAAAGCTAACATTAGCTCAAACTGAACATTACCACACAGACATCGAGTCTTTGCATCATTTTCTTTTAGTTTGCAAGAAAAAAAAACATGTAAACTGATGTTATTTTTGTAAGTTTTAATCAGTTTTCATTTATTTTTGTCCATCAGCTCACTGCTGTTCTGTTATCAGTATTACTCATTTTCTGATTTTCTGCTGCTTTGTGGAAGATGTTGGTTAAAGTAGGTCAAACTATCCTGTGAACGTCCATCTGTACGTTTTCCCATCAGCATCAGTGAACAGCCGGAGGTTCACTGATCCTCACGACTCATTCCAGTTTGTAAAAAACAGTATCAATGTTTCACAGAGCAGAATTTCTATGACTGGTAATTTAAATCTGTAACTCAGCATGTCCGGTGGAAACCTTTTAACTTGAGTCTTTGGCATGAAGTCTCATCTTACCAGCAGATATGAGTCAGACGTTTCTGCAGAAATGACTGATACAGTTGACAGTTCAAAGAAGTTATGAAAATTGTGGCGCATATTTCTGTAAAAATCGTCCAGATGTGGAAACAAGCATAAAAGTTTCCATGCTCGCCCCTCAGCTTATATTTGTTTGTTTTTTTTTTTTCCCAAGATGGCCGCCATTTTTGAGTCTTTTAAGTTTATTATTGCCAAAAGATGTTGCGCATTTTCGCAGGTTGGATAAACTTTATGCCACATCATTTGCATTTTACTCTGGCAATCATATTCATACAAATTTAAAGAAATAATATGCAGCATCAAAAATCAATAATTTACCTCAAAGAATAGGGAAAAACAGTCTAATTGCTTAAATCTGTTTATTAATAACAGGCCTGCACATCCTAAAGGGAAGGATTATGAAACCCAACACCTAAAACTGTAAATACAGAGTGCTGTGCATTTGGGTCCACAAAAGTCTCAGAAATAAGGTTGCTAAATGACCAATCAAAAAATTGAAGTTATTGAATTATTAGTCTATTTTATTTTACCTATTTTTTTTTTCTCGCCCTCAACGTTGAGAATCTTCTTCAAACCGATCTGCTTCTGACTGAGCAGAACGGCATTCTGACATTTAATATGTACATTCAAACCACATAATTAGTTAATTATAGGGCTGATCGTCACCGAGTCCATTTCCTGTCTGACAACTTTACGCTTTGCTTTAGTGACTCACCTGCTAACGAGATAATAAGATATCATCAGGAAATTGTCTCAACTAAAGCATTTGTTTTTTTTAAAAGAAGAATTTTGTTTACAAAGCACCAGACTGGAGACTTTATTCATTTGGTCTTTGGTAGAAACAGAGAAACAAATCATGCAAATGGAAATTGAGGATGGGAAGGTGACAGCAGGACAGGTGTGCAGGTTCAAGGTCAAACCCTTTAACGACTCAAGAATGAAATCACTTTTCATAAACTCACTTTTGAATGTCACTTAAATATCAGCAAAAATACCTGCAGCATTCCTTAAGGAAAATTGCTCAGAAAGTTTCAAGTAAAAATGGTGAGCAATCAGGAAGCGTCACCTGGGAAAACTTCCAGGGTTTCCTCCAGAAAACCCGCTGAGCCCAGTGGGAGATCTGCTGGGGTCGCCCATCAGCGGTCTGCTGCGAGTTTGGGTTAAAAATGTCAAGTTACAGAAAGTCGGAGGTGCAGAATCAGGCATCAAAACTCAGAAATAACAGTGTAATACCTCAACCATAAACCTTTAGCTTAATCTGTCTTTACTGTCACTGGTGGAGAAAAATCCCCATTTAAAATGACAACACACAACCTGGTGGGGGGAAAGTAAAGCCTGGTGGCCCGCCAGGCTGATAAAATACTGGGAGAAACTGACTTCTGTCTATAGCTCTGAACCCTGTCCATATCGCCATCTCTAAACAGGAACACTGTGTTTGTATTAAAAGGATCTTTGGGCTGCTCTTGGTCCGATTCCTCACCTGGGACCCGTTTGCCTCGGCAGATCCGACCCAAATAGAGGCATGAAGCCTCTGATAGACCCAGGATCACCGGGACACTCAAACCCCTCCACCATGATAAGGTGGCAGCCCAACGGAGGGGAGAAAACAAAGCCAGACACAGTTCCCTGCTCTGGACTGGAGAGAGGCCAGAAGGTGGCGCTCTGGTGTTTCTAACTAAACGAGAAGCTTAGTTCTTGTTTAGTTAGAAACTAAACGTTATGTTCTCGATTATTTTTCTCTCCATAGAAGCTACACCTGGTCGGGCGTTCTGATTGGCTGTGGCTGCTTCCTGGAAAAGGCCATTGGCTGACATGAAGCTGCCATCTCCTGACCGTTCTCCCTGTCCTTTTCACTTCCATGACCATGGAAAGTTCTCCTGATCAGTTGATCTGCTGTGTCTCTGCTCTGCCTTCTCCCAGCTCCAGTCGGTCATGGCTGCTGGTACTGAGCCCGGTTCTGGTTCTGCTGGAGGTTTCTTCCTGTTAGAGGGGAGTTCTTCCGCTCCACTGTATACATGCATGCTCTGCATGAGGGACTGCTGTAAAGTCAACGACTCAACACAAGCCAGTTGCTGTCGCCCCCTGCTGGACAGGAGGAGTGAATGCTGTAAGTAATGACTCCATACAATCTGCAGGATAGCGTTTGGTACAAAAGTTTTAAACTACGTTACAATTAAGTGAACCTAATAAATTGATAACTTGGATGAATAGTAATCTGACTAAATTGAAATGATTTTAAGTAAAATGCCTTGACAACATTGTTGTGAATTAAGATAATTATAAGCTTGGTACCTACTTTTGGTGTTCTGAACCTTTTTAGTATTGGTTGTTGGGGTTTTTGTTTGTTTTTTTATATTGTGTATTGGTGGGGCTCATTTGTTAGTTTGAAAGTTAATTAACAACAAATGTCGTCTCAATGCACTTTAATAATTTCAGTTCAATCACATTTACTCCAATTGCTGGAACAATAAGCTCAGTTTATTGTTAAAGTAGTTTAAAAAGTTTGTACCAAACGACACCCAGCAGATTGTATGGAATCACGGCATTCACCCCATCTGACCAGCGGGGGGCGACAAAGTCGCTGATTTTGCAGCAGTCCCTCATCTCCATGTAGCGACAGTGGAGAAGAAGAACTTCCCTCTGTCAGGAAGAGACCTTCAGTAGAACCAGAACCGGGCTCAGTACCACTATGTTTTATTCATAATTCATCCCTGCTATATTTTTAGAATAATTTAGAGAAACACCAAAAATGTATATTAATATTTATAATGTAGAAAGTATGACATGCAAATGAGACGCATAATGATCCATAATGCGTCTCATAATGGATCATTAAGTTTATTAAAATGAAGCACATATTATATTTAGGTTGTGTGGAAATTATAACTTCAATAACTTAATTTTATCTGTTTCACAGCATAAAAAATTCACATGTAAAATGTGAAATCAGGCTGCAGCTGCTGTTATGATAGTACATAACTGATGCTGAAGCATGCAGAGAATTTGGACACCTACTGGTCACAGATGTGCATTACATCATTTATTAAGTGCGTTTATAAAGAAATTAAATTTTTGAAAACATAGCTGTGTATTTGTAGATGTGCCTGGTAATCCAAAAACAGATTTCAAGAAAATGTAAAACATGTAGTACAACTTTTCAGACATTAAGATGAATGAGTAACATTTTGCATAAATGTTCTTTTTGTTTCACTGTAATTTAATTGCATAAATTACTGAAAGTGTGCAGTTAAATATGCATCTGTTGTATCTGTTAATCTCTAATCCAGAGCAAGAAAAATCAAACATCAGGCTGGTTCAGTGAAAAGAAAAGATGAAAAACATTTTTATACCACATTTTATTTATTTTTTTTGTATTTTTATTGCTAGAAAAGTGAAAGAAAAAAAGCTTCATGTCAGTACTTCTTTTTAAAAAGTCAATTTGATTTAAAAATATAAAGTTATAATCAAATACAGTCCTCATGGTTCCCTTCATTTAATTAAATCAAAAGTATGAAGAAATAATTTCTGGTTGACTTTTGCCCCGTCCCCACATTAATTGTACTAAAAACCAATTCCATCTTAAGATATTAGACGATGAAGCATCAAAAAGTCAGAAATAATCCCAGATTTCCAAACATCCCGTCTGTGGATCTGGACTGATGTCAGGAATCAGCGTAAAGGTCGGCAGTCGGTCCAGTTTCACATGGAAACCACCTGAGGAAACAATTAAATATCAGACACATTCCTCCTCTACAAAGACTTTTCTCTACTTGTTTAGTGCAGATTTAGTTTTTTAACTTCGTTTATCACAAATCTGAGTTTTTGATTAGCCATGAATGTCAGAGCAGAGACTGAAAATAAAAACACACAACAGGTAAAAAGCTGAACAAATATAAAACATGATTTCAGCCAATTAGGGCATTCAAACAGGTTTTCTGAATTATTATTTAAATATTACAGCATATTACAATCTTTTTATTGTGCTTGATTGTAAAGAATAAGAAAAAGGATAAAAATATTTTAATATACATATGAAATCCTCTTATCTAAGTAAAATCTAATTTCCTTTCAAAAAGGTAAAACAACCCTCTCTTGTTATGTAATATCTTGATTACTGAATTTCTTGCCCAAAACATTAAATAAATAAATAAATAAACTTTCCACTTTCAGTTACTGAAACCTTTATGACAACAGTTGAACAAACAAACCCACGTTGCCGTCTGGCCTAATGAACCCAGCCCATGCTGATGAAGGATGTGTCTCTAATTTTCAGTGGCCGTCTGATGGCTCTTCGTTCTCTCTTAGGTTCATCGGAGCAATCCTGGCATTTAAACACAGAAACACGACATTTACTATTTTGCATATCATCACTACACATACAGTGTTTTCCTAACATTTATCCCTTTAAAAACTAAGTTTTATTTTGAAAAAAAACAAAAAAAAAAAACATCTATGTTCCTCAGAAGCATTTAAAGTCTTGATAAAGAGAACCAGGGCTGCACATGTGATGAACTGTTAATAAAGTTTCCTAAAGTTTGCACCGGGATGCAGTTGTCCTCCTGTTTAGGACACAGCTGGATCTTGCAGTGCAGATAAACTTGACCAGAGTTCCCAGAAAACTCAAACATGTTGAAGGAGAAGTAGGTGGAGGTTCCCGCTCCGTTTCCCTCCACCTCCACTGTCCCGTCATTCGGGTCAGCACAGCTGGGAGGAAGAAAAACCAGTTCATGTGAGTCTTATAACCCAGTCTGAACACTCTGATGGTTATGACTGATAGAGCCTCACCCATCTTTAATCAGGTCATAACTTGGTTTGCTGTCGTGCGATTCCTTGCTGGTTGCCCAGCATGAGTCCATCACCACGGCGATGGTTTTTGCATCCAGCCCGTCCGTCTTCAGCTCCACCCATATTTTCTGGTTCAGCAGAACACCAGAGATTACAGCTCGGGTGTAGGCAGCGTTCTCATATGCTTTCATCGACACAGAGTAGCTCCATTCTCCAGACTTGATGTGCTGGACCACAGAGCTGCAAACAAACAAACAAACAAACAAACAAACAAACAAACAAACAAACAAACAAACAAACACGGGAGCTTATTAAACTGCAAAAACACAAAATATTTCCAACTATTTTTGGACTAGTTTCTACTGCAAATCTTAATATACTTGAAATAAGACAAAACTAGTTACAAGTAACTTTTCAGCAAACTATAGGAGCTTGTTTTAAGTTGATGATTCCTCAATATTGATGGAAAAAGTACCGACACTGGCAGATTATTCCACTTATAGCAACACATTTTTCCATGTTAAAAGTAAAATAATCTGCCAATAGAACTAGTACTTTTTTAAATCAAAATTTAAGAATTAATGGCTTTAAAAAAGTCCTATGTTTTGCTGAACAGTTACTCTCAAGGTTTGTCTCATTTCCACTGTACTAAGATATTTGCACTAGTATCTAGTTTTGCGTTTTTGCAGCAGAACCAGTTTAAAAAGTTTCCATCATGGCAGAAACAAAATCGGTCACACACTTGTCTTTAATTCTGAAGGCCACAATCTTTATGTCGGGTTGAGTGTGGTGGCAGGAGAAGTCGATGAACACTTGATCATGGCGAGTGATGACATCAGAACTGTTCTGGGTCATGATGGTGTTCTTGTAGTTTATCTGACTTCCATTATTCTGCAGAATCAGACGATCATTAGAGAAAAAAATCAGTTATTTCTGCATAACAGTTCAGTTTTTCTACTTTACTGAGATTTTATTGAACACAATGGATGAGAAAAATGCAAGAAACACACAAAGATCTCTGATCAGAATCAGAGGATGAGTGTGAGACCCACCATGATCTCCGTCCCGCAGGTGTTGCTGCTGTCGAAGCTGAAGGTCACCATGTGGTTCTTCTCGTCCATCGCGCCCCTGCAGCTCCGGTCATTAAGGTGCAGGACTCTGTAGTCGACGCCTTTTTCCTCCAGCAGACATCCAACAAGAGTGATTGAACCAGAGTTCTTCCTGCACACAGCCGGCTCACCTGGGCATAAAAACATCTGTGGAAACTCTGATTTCCATCTTTTTCCAAAGACCTGTGTACATCTCAGAGGTTTCTTACCCAGAGTGCCAGACAGTTTGTATTTGGAGGCAAACAGAGCTCTGCAGAGGCAGCCGGTCTTCCCACTGTGTTTCCTGCCACAGAACTCATGATCGCTGCAGAGCTTGTCCTGACAAAACGCCTGAGGCTCGGCTGCAGAGAAGCAAAACCAAATGTTACTCTGACAGCATGCAGGCTGTAGAAACATTGCAGTAAAGATGAGATTCTCTCACAGCAGCCTGCGTTTGACCACCATCTGTCCAGTGTGATGTTGCTCTGTAGGCGGCAGGCTGTGGCGTACGCCCACAGGAACTGGCAGCCCAGACCGTCAGCTGAAGGATATCCACACAGAGTGCTGTTGCAGGCGCTGATGTAGGGAGTTGGGTCGACGTCGTCGTTGCAGGAGGAAAACGGGGCGGCCCTCAAGAGGTTACAGCTTTTTCACACACAAAAAGATAAAAACATTAAACATTCTCAAATGTTTCTATTTCTATTATTCTAGAAATATTGTATTTTGCCAGATGTATTCTGCCATAGATGTCAAAATACATCAATTAGTCCCTCCAGTTTTTTGTGATTCTACAATCGCAGAAATTCAGGGAAAATTAACATTTCATCATTTTGTTTGTGCTAATGCACAGCTGTGAAATTATTGCAAATTTTCCACAAAAAAATTGGTCAGATATATTGGATTGAATTGGTGCCAACTCCCACCTGCAGGTGGCAGTATTTCTTTCTTGTACTGCTGCCTCAGGCTTACTTGATGTCAAGTTATTGTCTAAGATCGATGTGGCGCAAATATCAAGCAATATGTTTCTTGCAAATACTTCTAAATTAGCTCCACAAAATCTGTGATTCTGACTGCAAAATAATAATAATAATAATAATAAAAATCACAGAAACAATCATAATAACCCTGATGAACTGATCAATTTCAAAAGATGTTCAACATTTAATTTTAACAAGATCAAATGCAGAAACAGCTTTTTATAAATATTTTAACAATAAATTCTGCCACTACCGGCCCTTTAAGAACATTCATGATCCTGATGCAATTCAAAATGAAAATGAGTTTGACATCCGTAACATATACAATGCAAACTACACAGAATAACACAGAAGGACGAAGAAATAAATCTACTCACTGTTTGGTGATCATGTTGCATTCTATTTGACTGTCCACAGGGTCTTCATACTGCCTTTCACAGCTAGCAAGAAAACAAACAAATCAACAAGTCAACTTCCTGTTTTTGAAGGAATGGTTTCGAATTCAGAATAATTGTATTTAATTAATTATTCATAATAATGTTGCACCTTGGAGAGCTTAAATCAAGAAGCTTTGCACTCGACATATTTCTGGAGTCGACACACAGACCCTCCATCGCTGATCCAACAGGGACTGAAAGTTTACAGACTATATTAGTGAAAGTTTCATGAAAGCAGGTCATTCATGCTTTCATGAAGCATGAAAGCATGAATGGATTTAAAGGATTTTAAATGTAAATTTAAAATCCTTTAAATTTACATCTCATAGCTGAATTATGACAACTGAAAAGTATTCCTACCGACTTAAACCAGCATTGCATCTTCAATGTGTTTGTTAATAAATACATTGTAATCTTTACATTTTCATGTGAAAAAGTGATTTTTTTTTAATTTCAACCTTCCTGAGTAAAACTCAATTACAGCTTTAAGTCTTATGTCCTTTTATCCTCATCTAGAGTTGGATTTGTTGCCTGTTTTTCTTTCTGGATAGAATTAATTAATACTTAAAGGACTAATCCTGCCTTTACTAAATATAAATACAGAACAAATAAAGATCATAAATAAATAGCTTTAGAAATAAATTGCATTTCCCAAATGATTAACAAATGCTTTACTGTACCATCAAATTGAATTAAATAATAATACAAAAGATATTTGTTTCTCAATCTTTGACTTTAATAAATCATTTTTGTGCTCATCTTCTCATTTTGTATTTTATCATATCTCTGATTTTTTTTTTTCAGTTTTCTTCATATTTGTGGCAGGATTGGTCTTCCGTAGGGAAGAACCAGACGTTAAAAAGTTGAAGAATAATAATCAGTTCATTGCTGCCTTGTTTATTCCTACCTCTCATGTGGATCTGTGCTGTGTAGCCATCAAACAACGCCGACATTTTGAGCCCAGAGAACAAAGACGTTGCTGTCAGTCCATTTTTATCCTTGCTTAATGAAATGCCCTCGAACTGCTGGACTGGACTGTTCAGGGTCAACACTGTCTCATTCATCTAAGTGCATCAAAGTAGGAAAATTATTAGTCACAAAATGAGAATCTATGCGAAGATGGGAAGCGGTGTGCAGGAATTTTGATCCAACTTTCCTGGAATTACCTTAATCCTGCCACCTTGTTCCAGGCGGAAGTAAACCTTTGAGCCAGCAGGTCGAAGGCTCACACTGTCCAGGAAGCTCACGTCTCTACGGCGGCGTTCCTGGAAGTTAGCCAGCACTTCAAACCCGCTCGATGAGTCTGACACCAGAGAGTACACACACCGGTCCGTCACAGAGCTCTGTTGACCTTGGAAGTCGATGACAGTGGGGCCCGTCACGGTGCAGATTTGGTTTTTAAAACATCTGATGGAAAAATAAACAGGCAGATTAATAAATCACAGCAACAGTTTAATAACAAACCGTAGCTTTCTGTCTAAACCAGAAAGTGTGTGTGTGTGTTTACCTGCCGTTTCCGTCACATTCCTCCTGCTCACCACAGCCGGTTGATGTGACAGCTCTGTCGATGCTACAGGTGAAACTTCTGCAGGTTTTTTCAAAATGGACTGTTGAATTAGGTAAAATCCCAACACCTGAAGACAAAAGTTAGACTTTTGTGTTTCCAATCTTAAAGATCACCCAATTTCTCTTTCAAATGTCAATAATGCTTAACAGAATCACCACAAAATGATTATTTCACCAACCTGAGATTCTGCATCCACTGATGTCAGTAAATCCAGAGTCAGCCGACCCAAGAGACACAGACTGAACTAGCTTACCCTCAACCGCTACATCCGCCATCTATACGGTAATAAATATTTCATTTTTAGAAACAAAAAATATAAAAGAAATTATTTGAAACATTAAGATGGAAAAGCAGCAGTTTACCATTTAAATAGTTAAGTTTATCTTTTAAAATACAACAGAGAAAGTAAAGATGGTTTTAATTTGAGCCTTTTATTCACATTATTGCTTTCAAAACCAATTTGTACTCTTAGAATAAGTGTTTTATATTAAATACACATGTGAAAACAAAATAATAAAAATACTCACCACTTTTGCCTCACTGGAGACTGAACTGAAATGCAGAGCTGTTTGTTTCCCAAAACTGAGGAGGTTCAGATTTACCTTAGTTAAAAGAAAAAAAGACGCAGAAAATAATAATAAAAAAAACTTTATCAAAAGTGAAGCACTAGATTTTTCAGGTATTTCATTTTGACCCTTTGCATTACGTTACTTAGTCACTCGAGGCGCCATGTTGGACTTTGGAAATCAAGATCGGGAATACTGAACTGAGCGACTGAAATTGTTTATTTATGGCTTCTTGTTGGAGTCAAGCTAATGTCTGTGAAAGTAACACACCTGTTGGGGCTGTATTTACAAAAGTCTGAAACAGCTAGCTTACAAACCGACCCGTACCTCCTCCCTCCTGATCAAATTACCGACTTTGCCTGAATTCACACCACATGATTTATGTCACTATGTCATAAACAGCGTTTCCCCTCATTCTGAAGAAGCCTTAAAATGAACAAAAGACGAGATGCTAGCCCCCCCCACACACACATGCTAGGCTAACATGACGGAGGGGCACTGTCTCCATGGTTACTAATTCTTAAACAAGTACCTTTCTCCATAATGCAATATTTTATATCATCTTTATAATCATACTTACTTATAAAGTACATGAACCTTAATCTTACCTTGTGATTAACGGCTATAGTTATAGAATAAAATTACAAGTTATTTTCACGAGGGTGAAAACTTAGACTAGATTTTCACCCTCGTATTTGCAGCTGACCGCGTCTATTGTCAAAGCAAAATCAACTAAATAAAAGCGATATTAAGCCATCAGATGTCGTTTTCTGACAGGTTTTACAGAAGCTGCGTTTTGACGTCCATCATGGCGGAGCGGGTCGAGTTCTGAGGACCGTGACGTCACGTGCAAAGGGTCAATATGTGACTAATCTGTTTGTTTACAAATCTCGTAAACATCAAGAAGAGCTCGAATTAAATGTATTATATTTACTTTCTTGTTCGTGTACATCATGTCAAAATGCACAGAGCACTTCAAGCTGCTTCTGATGGTTTGCACTGCTGCTTTTGCTCGAGCTTCATACGAAGAATCTTTTTCCCTTATGATGAATTTCGCCTCGCCAGACTCGGGCTTAGGTCCAACAATGCAGTCATCACTGCTTTTAGAGTTATAATAACCGTTGAAACAGATGGCAAAGTTCTTATTGGTGAAGTTCACCTGTTAAAAACAAACACATCACTTTGAAAAGCCGCCATCTTTTTATGTCACTTTGAATTTTTAATGCTAAAAATAAAGATTCAACCACTAAATGGGATTTATGAGCTTGCTGCTGCGCAAATAAAATGTAATTAAAGCCCATATTAGATTATATATCCACATGTATTCAGAAACATTTGACTCCATTTTACTTACATAAACCTGCTGGTAAACATTTTGATAGAAAGATAACGGACACAAGGTGAGGTTGAACTTTTTAGCTTCACCAAATTTCTCCCCAGAAGTACCTGCAGACATGAAAACATAAAAAACTGTTAAATGCAGAATGTTAAGTAGAGGTGGTCTGAAATCGGTGAGTTATGAATATTAATAAGAACAATATTTAGTTTTAGCTTCTGTTCAGTAGATTCCACTGATTAACAATATAATTTAAAGATTGTTTTTAATTGGCAAAATTAAGGGATATGTAATGTGGATCGCACCCATAAAAAAACAGCAAAAACAAACAAACAAAAAAATAATCATTGAATGCATTTTTTTTTTTAGATGATTATACTTATTAGTGTAAGTACTTGGTACTTACACTAATATAGGATTTCATTGTTTTTGCAAGCAGAAGAAAATCTGCTAAACAATATAAAGCACATTAAAAATGAGAATTGTATTTTATTTTTTACAGCATGATCAGCTGATCAGGCAACAGAGTATGACTCTGTTGGGCTTCCATTTGAATGTCACAAAATAGTTAAATAAAACCACAAACAATATGATATGCTGTAAACATTATCTAATATAATTATTTTTAAGACATAAAGCTTAGTGTTTAATAGTAAAATTGTTGATTTTTTATCTTCATGAATCCAAAGATGCAAAATATTTTATATGTATGTCTATAATCCAAATTTTATGCTCTGTTATTTTTTACACAGCTTATTCAGGACTTATGTGATGTTTTACTGACATTTAGAAATTAAAATACATTATCAATAATATTTCTGTGGATAAATAACCTGCTTTTTGTTTGCAGATTTATCCATGTATTTCATTTTAAAAAATCTCAGACTTTTTCAAACTCACCACCCATTAGCCTATAAATAATACTGTTCATTCTGGGTTCAGGTTAGAGATGTTTGACAGAATAACCTCAAAAACTATTTTGTTTAAAGAATTTTTCTTTTATTGGGGATTATAGTTGACGTTCAACAAGTTTAAAATTTACTTACCCATTACCTAAAAATAATAAAAAATAACATTAAAATCTTACCAGTTCCAGCAATAAGTTGCACTCCACTACTTCTGATATTCTCAAACTCAGAGAAGAGTCTGAATGTGTATTTGGTTTCAGCAGAAAGAGACGACACTGTGTGAGTTACTGGTCCGTTTCCAGCAGGCGCAGCGATTCTTCTCTCGTTACCGTTGAACTGGAGAATGAAGCTGTTGACGTTGTTCACTCTGTTCCACTGCAGAGTTATACTGCTCTCAGTTTCATTTAGGGACACCAAGCCAGTTGGATTTGGAGGAGCTGAAGGCAATATTTAGAAATTTATTAAAGGTGAAAATTGCACTGTACCTGAGTAATGGTATCATAAAGCGGAGAATAAAGTGAGCGTCAAATAATCTACCAGTGGCACTAGTACTTTTTCCCAATCAAACTTATATCTTGCTGAAAAGTTACTCATAAGAAAGGTTTTGTCTTATTTCGAGAGTACTAACACATATTTACACTAAAAACTAGACCAAAAATACTTGGTAAGGTTTGTGTCTTTGCAGTGAGTGTATTTTTAATTTTATTTCCTTCAAAAAGTAAAGTGAAGCATCTTACCAGTGGCAGCTGTAAATTGTACTCCTCGGTCTCTGACATTTCCAACCACAGCAAATATAGTAAATGTGTATTTAGTTGCTGCCGTGAGGGAAGAAACTGTGACTGATACGGCTCCATTTCCACTTGGTGCTCCGACTGACATCTCTCTGCCGTCATACTGGATAACAAAGCTGACAATGTTGTTCAATCTGCTCCACTGTAGAGTGATGCTGGTCTCAGTTTGGCTTATTGCTTTGACGTCAAACACGTTGTTAGAAACTATTTCTAGAAAAAACAACATGACAACAACATTATATCATTTTAGGGGTTTTAGAGAAAGATTGAATCGTAACAGTGATGATGGAGCATTACCTGCACAATATGCAAGATGGCAAGTTGATGGTTTCGCAAGTTTGTAAACATAAAAGTTTCCAGGACAGAGCTTGACTTTTATGGTGTGTGAGGCAAAATGGCAACAGGAAGAGACCCAGTTATTACACACAGTGCGAGTTACGATTTCATTGATCTGTGTGGGGTGAGGCTGTGTTATGTACAAAGTAGCATGAGTTCCACATCTGTTTTTGTCAACACACTTTTCTGGAATAGCAGCACTCCTCCCTCCTAGATAAAACTGATACCAGCCGTCCCAATTTACACTCTGGTCACACCTCAGATTGCTCTGGTCTATGTTATTTATTGAGCGCCACTCATCACGCAGTTCAGTGTAACGGGAACAGGGATCTGCACACTGAGGAACTCCATTTACGTTGATGCAGTCCAGTCCAGCAGAACAACCTCCCACTACACAAGACAGAGCTTGGCCTACGAGAGAGAGAGAAAAATCATGACACCTTCACAATAAAAAATAAACAAAAAGAGACTGAATTGCATTTTAACATGACGTGAATTTCTCCTAAAATGTTAAATTAACTGTTTTCCATTGTTAGATTTGTTTTATCTCTTGCTGTTTTCAGTTACTTTGCATGATTTTATTCTGATTATAATAAATAATCCTGGACCAGACTCTGACACCGGTCGTACAGGGACCTGACAGCCCGTATCAAAGGGCCTGGTACCCCATACTCCCGGAGAACCCCTCCAGGGGAACTGCCCCCGATGTCCATGCGATATTGCAGAGTCGCGCGAGCCAACGCAACCCTACAATATCCAGAGCCTTAAGGAACTCCGGGCGGATCTCATCCACCCCCGGGGCCCTGCCACCGA